GGGCGCGGACGGACCAGGCCCATCCGCGGCTCCCTACGCTGAAGAAGTTGGCCGGCGTGCGGCCACCGTCGGTGAAGCAGGCCAACAACAACACCCAGAGATTCCCAGCGTTCCCGAGGCGACCCCCCTTTTGCCCAACTCCCCAGCCCCCGGACCCCAAGGCCTGGGAGCCATGAAGGCCCTGAGCGCTCTGCTCAGCCGCAGCAAGTATGCAGAGCTGCTGCTCATTCCAAAGATTTCTCCAGAGCCTGCTCCCTCTGGCCATAATGCAGATTGGAGCTCTGCTGGAGTGCCCCCTGGTGTCTCGTCTCCCGTGTGTCCGGAGGAGGTGGAGATGAGGGCTGCTCTACAGTTCCTGATGAGGCACATGGTGAAGCGTGCTGTCATGAGGTCTCCCATCAAACGAGCTTTGGGCCTGGCCGATCTGGAGCGTGCTCAAGCCATGGTCGCCACACCCCAAACCCCGAGCACTCTGCCCAACCGAGTGCTGAGGCCGAGGCTTCAACGCAAATAGAGTCTTGCCGCTCCAAGACCAAACATCGCCATGACCACTAACGCTCCACACACGCTCATAGGGAGCGGTGCCACTGACTGCGAGACGGCACTGCTCGTGAGTATTCCCGCGGAAAAGACTACCGAACGTAGACCGGCATGGGCCCTTGGACTGTTATGCTGGCCACACTGACACTACTTTCCGTGCTGACCGTGTTTATTATGTTAATATTGCCTTCTCTTATCGCTGTCCGGATCCATTGTGTTATTATAATGTGCTCTTTCTTTTATTGACAAGCATGTGTCTTTTCTTGTCCACTTTGGACAGCAATAATTTAAGTGTTTCAAGCTTGAAGGTGGTGTGATTACGATGCCTCTGGTATTTAACTGATTAATGCAAAAATGGTTTTGAATTATCAGAAGAGGGGAGTGTGGTGACAGTTTTTGGAGTAATTACATTAAAACCAGCCGCAGCAAATACACGGACGTCAAAGGCCTTTTATCAATGCAGACAACCTTCTGACGCCATGCTGAGCTTTGTGAAGGTCCCTGCTGTCTGTCACACCCTTGTGTCTTTCCGTCTTGCATCTGTATGACCTGCACTTCCACCATTGTCTGTCTGTTCACACCCCATGCCACTGCCACCACAGGGGATGGCGCCGGCGCTTCCTGTGCGCCTCCTCACCGGTGGCCCCCTCCGCTCCGTTGTGGGCGTGACTATCTTTGGTGTGTGTTTTGTATACAGGAAGCTGGGGGCTCTGGCCCCCAGAGCTGAGCATGCTGCCTTTGTGTGGATATGCTGACTCTCCGCACTGTGCGTTAACAATAAACTTACGCTTTTGATCAGACAAAGGACCTTTGAGTTTCCTCCTTCATGGGGTATATAATTCTATAACAAGGGCTAGCGTGTTGGATAAAAAAATGACGTAAAAACAGTGGAAAAAAAGTGAAAAAAATCCGCACAGATATGTAGCTCTGATCAGTATTATTTACATACCACGCTGTAGCTACATATCTGTGCGGATTTTTTTCACTGTTTTTACGAAATACTGGTAGTGGCCTTGAACACATGATCACACAGCTCTCAAAAGTCCATTTATAATTCTTCAACCTCAAGTTTTTGAATGTCCTAAAAATCGATGTGTGAAAACTGTGAGTTTTTTAAACACACTCCGGTCCAGAGCAGGTGTTGTGCTTTTATCAAAACAACAGAACGTGTTACGCATGAGAAAGTGGGCGTCGATAGGGAACTGAGCAGAATCATTTTTAAACGCCAGAAAACAGAAATGAGCACAAATCAATCATGGACAAACAGGATCTGTGCTTCACTGCTTCACTCACAGCAGCAGGATCCCCGAGGCTGCATTGGTAACACACAAGAGAGGAACGGACAACAACACGACTGTGTATGGATATTTAAGATCATTTTAAAAACCTGCAGTACGCAAACTCAACTCTCTGCTTCAAACCATTCAATAATCTCTGTTCATCAATAACTTTTCTACATACGTTTTTGGCGGGTGCAAAATGGGTGGTGGCTTTTATAATGGTTTTACATTTGTATGCATGTTGTGTGTGTGTGTGTGTGTGTGTGTGTGTGTGTGTGTGTGTGTGTGTGTGTGTGTTTTTAACTTGCACCACCCGAAGCACCTCGGCTCCCCACGAAACAATTAGAACACATGTGCCTTGAGTAGAAAAAGAGAGGGAGAGAGAGAGCGAGAGAGAGAGAGCGAGTGAGAGAGAGAGTGAACAAAAGAGCGAGAGAGAGAGAGCAAGTGAGAGAGAGAGAGAGAGAGAGAGAGAGAGAGAGAGTGAGAGAGCGAGCGAGCGAGAAAGAGAGAGCGAGAGAGAGAGAGAGAGCGAACGAGAGAGAGCGAGTGAGAGAGAGAGAGTGAGAGAGAGAGTGAGAGAGCGAGTGAGCGAGAAAGAGAGCGAGCGAGCGAGAAAGAGAGCGAGAGAGAGCGAACGAGAGAGAGAGAGAGCGAGTAAGAGAGAGAGAGCCAGCGAGAGAGAGAGAGAGTGAGAGAGAGCAAGAAAGAGAGAGAGCAAGAGAGAGAGAGCGAGTGAGAGAGCGAGAGAGAGCGAGAGAGAGATAGAGCGAGTGAGAGAGCGAGAGAGAGAGAGAAAAGCAGGAAAGTGAGGCCCGGGCCAAACATGGGGAGAGCCCCGTGGTCTGTGGGTCCAGGAGGTGACCAAGATCATGGTTTTTTTCAAGCTTAGGTTTTTATTCTTTTACTTTTTTTTCATGATACATCATTTTTTATTTTATTTTAATCCAGTGGTCTCCTTTTAAACCCGGGTCCAAAGAACCTTTTTTTCCACTTCCGACATGTTCATCATCATCATCAGTAGTATCATCAGTAGTATCAGTAGTATCATCAGAAGTATTATTTACAACATAAGTTCATTCTGATGTAGGATTCAAAGCCTACAATGGTTGTCTTAAAGACCTTATGCCGGGTTTGATTTATTTAGAAATACAGTTTTAATACCATTTTATATTAGAAGAGAACTACTAAAGGTTTCAAAATAATTGTTGTTTTTTTTGTCTGATCCCCCCAAATCGAAATAACCCCATAGCAACGCCTTTAGAGACAAAAAAACTTCACAGCCCTTGGTGACGTCAGAACGGGTACGTTTCAACGCTGTAAGTTGTTTACAATTTGGTATTCGTTCTTTTTTCGCGGATATTCAAGATGACAAGGCCGTGTACAGAGAGTGTGAAATAACTACTACATTATAACATTTCGTTGTCACAGAGATAGTTCAGTGGATGTGTCGATGGACTGCCAATCCAGAAACTGTGGTTCAAATCCCACCTCAGACACTATTTCACTCTCAAACGGCAATTTATGTGTAGTGAGCAATTGTCACCTGTAGAGGGCAGTATTGTGTTGGGCATCAGTGGAGAGAAGAGAGAAAAGGCAGTCCTGTGGCATAGATCCATGGTTTTCAATGCATGGGCGTGACCCGCTGTGACGTCACACACAGGTCAGAGCATAGACAACTTAAATTCATGAAAAACACGTTCTTTTTATAAAATATAGGATTTTTTTTGCCGGAATCTCTTTCAGATTGACATTGTCATGCAATTTTGATACCCACATTTTTTTTTTTTTTAAACCCGGCATAAGGTCTTTAACTTCAGGACAAATAACTTTTATATTCAAAGGTTCTGTATCCAAAATACCAAACTAAAAAAACCAAAAAATAATCAATTTAAAACAGCAGTCTGTAAACATGTGGCCAAAAGTGGTACTGCAGCATCTCCCATTCTCCCTGACTCAGGTTGCCAGATATGCAGACGAATCCAGCTGGGACCATAACAGCTGAATAGACAAAAGTTTTGTCAACAACAAATCTATAAGCAACACCTTTTTCACAAAGATATAAATCCTGGTTTTATTCCTTGTTTTGTCGTTAATGATTTGAGAATAATAACCAGACCTTTTTTAGTTCCGCGCCACATGGTACGTGGTAATCGACCGATACAGATGTTGAGCCGCTGCACCGGTGCATGTACAGTATTTATTATTACAGTGATTCAGAAGATCTAATACGACTTTCACAAGACACTCAAGGCAAATCAAACATATTATTATGGAGGTAATATAGTTAGACATCACAGCTTTAAAGACGGAGGCGATTATGAATTTAAAAGCACCATTGGAGACACCACAATTATGACAGATTTTAAGTGGAGTAAAATCTCAGAGCAAGTAAACAGACTAATGAGACAAGCGTGAATCCACCTGCTAATACTGCGGCATGTTTTTGGGCGAGCGAACGATGTGATATCAGTAAAAACCTCAAAATAGTGAAAAAACATGTGAAAAAAGATATAACCCTGGTCTCTCTCTGGTCTCTCTCTCTGATCGATCTCTGGTCTAACTCTGGTCTTTCTTTGGTCTATCTCTGGTCTATCTTTAGTCCTTCTTTGGTCTCTCTCCCTGGTCCCTCTCCCTGGTCTTTCTCTCTCTGGTCTCTCTCTCTGATCGATCTCTGGTCTAACTCTGGTCTATCTCTGGTCTAACTCTGGTCTATCTCTGGTCTATCTCTGGTCTAACTCTGGTCTATCTCTGGTCTATCTCTGGTCTATCTTTGGTCCTTCTCTGGTCTCTCTCTCTCTGGCCCGTCTCTGGTCTCTCCCTAGTCTCTCTCCCTGGTCCTTCTCCCTGGTCTTTCTCTCTCTGTTCTCTCTCTGGTCTCTCCCTAGTCTCTCTCTGGTCCTTCTCTGGTCTCTCCTTGATCTTCCCGTAGCCCTCAGTCCTACTCCTTTCCCTCTATGCCCTCTGCAGCTGTATTTTACAATCTATGCACGGCTTTTGACAGCTGCAGCAGCGCTCAGACCTACAACCAGCAGGTTTTATCTCTCTGGTCTCTCCCACTTCAGCAGCCATGAGTTCAGGTGGTCCAAGTGCCTTAAAACATACAGCTAACTCTAGTTTGGAGTTTGTGCAGAGCTACCCTTTATCAAAGCTCCCCAGACAGCCTTGCACTCCAGCTTGTTAAAACACCACTCCACACTCGAGAGCCTCCGACGCCTTCGGCCCCGTCACTGTTTTTCCTCCCGCTGTCGACAAGATGGCGTCTGTCACTCGGGGATGGGCAGCGTTGCGTTGCCAGGTCTGATTTAGGGACGGCATTAATGCAAGGCCGCAGTATCCATCACCGGGGAGTGGGCCGACTACTGACTTCCAAATCACCACAGGCTCCACGGCTCTGTAGGCCTTGCTCCGGCCGCAACCCGCACATATGCTGCTGATGTACGGCCCGTCACGCAACCCAAACAGAGTGTCACGGCGCGGGACGGATCGATAACGATGGACTTAAGGGAAAGGTGTGCCAAATTCATTTCTGCGCGCCCATGAGCTACTGTACAACCCCCATTTGTCACAGTTGATGTTCTGCTTTGCCTCAGTCGGTGTTTCTTCTTTCCCACACAGACTATTTTAAACTGTCAGCCTCCCGTTTGGATAAAAGTGTGTAAACGGGGGAGGAATCTGAACAGAGCCGACTGGAAATGATATTGGATAGACTGAAAGCACTGAACATTTAACGTAAAAGTTATGACTAAATTAAGCTAATGCGTGGATGTGGCTTGTTGAATTTGCCTCTAGTATTACTGTAATTAAAACCTATTTGTTTATATTCATTGTGTTTTTGAGTTTGTGCCAATGTAGGAGGATCTACGGACAGTGGTGATGGTCCAGGACATTAATTCACGTTTATTAACATTTATAGACAGTGGTCATCCTGCTCCCTATGGACCAAAACCTCATGTGTTTGTTAATAGTGGTTTTACTGGGGTCAAACTGCCGTTATGATTTAGGGCTACAGAAAAAAACAACAGTCAAGTTGCAATTCTCTCCTGCATGTGACCCGTCCATTATCTTCCACTTTATCTGTTGCTGGATCACAGGGACAGCAGACTGAGCAGACTTTACTATCGCATTCTCCGACAAACTACAACCGGCAAATTCAGCGCAAACTCTTAACGTCACCGACACCGACCTACAACACCCGCCTCCCCCGCTCTCTGATTGGTCGGAGGCGATTCAACCGAGGAAACTGCAGCCACTAGGATCAGACCCAGACGTACATGTAGGAAATGATCATGGACCAGAGTTTACACATGGTAAGACCAGACGTACATGTAGGAAATGATCATGGACCAGAGTTTACACATGGTAAGACCAGACGTACATGTAGGAAATGATCATGGACCAGAGTTTACACATGGTAAGACCAGACGTACATGTAGGAAATGATCATGGACCAGAGTTTACACATGGTAAGACCAGACGTACATGTAGGAGATGATCATGGACCAGAGTTTACACATGGTAAGACCAGACGTACATGTAGGAAATGATCATGGACCAGAGTTTACACATGGTAAGACCAGACGTACATGTATGATCATGGACCAGAGTTTACACATGGTAAGACCAGACGTACATGTAGGAGATGATCATGGACCAGAGTTTACACATGGTAAGATCAGACGTACATGTAGGAGATGATCATGGACCAGAGTTTACACATGGTAAGACCAGACGTACATGTAGGAGATGATCATGGACCAGAGTTTACACATGGTAAGACCAGACGTACATGTAGGAGATGATCATGGACCAGAGTTTACACATGGTAAGATCAGACGTACATGTAGGAAATGATCATGTACCAGAGTTTACACATGGTAAGACCAGACGTACATGTAGGAGATGATCA